TATGCGTTTTATTGGGCAAAATTTAACATGGATGGGCTCATTAGATCCGCCACGTAGAAAAACTAAAATCACGCGGGGTTCCACGGAATTTGAATGGACTTTCTTAATTTTAGACTCAAAAAATAAGTTTTTTATAAAAATTTATAGCACAGAAGCTACGGTGAGCACATTCATGAGATATACACTAAACGAAGCAAAATCACGAGTTCTACAATCCTATAATAAAAACACCGAAAATCCGGCTTCAAAATGTCAGCATCCTTTTGTGATTATATCGAAAAATAATACATTCGAATCATATTGTCCATGGGGTATTCTGCAACTTAGTCACTGATCACAAGTGCGTGCGTTGTATAGCCACAAATCATGAATGAACACAAAAAATCTCGTTGGCTTCAACACATTTTCACCCATTTTTTATACCCTCCACCATAGTATGGAGGGTATATTAGGTTTGTTTTTCCGTTTGTAACGCATCGAAATAATCATTTCCGACCCTATAAAGTATATATATTCTTGATCAGCATAAAATTCTATGACGATCTAAGCATGTCCGTCTGCCTGCCTGTCTGTCTGTTGTAATCACTCTAGCGTCTAAACGAATCGAGATAGAACGCTAAAATTTTGCATAGAGTCGTCTTTTGTCTGCAGGCAGGTCAAGTTCGAAGATGGGCTATATCGGTCCACGTTTAGGCATAGCTCCCATATAAGGGTAGCCCTCGATTTTCGGTATTTTAGGGTTCTTGTGCGCGGTTTTCAACCGAATTCGCTGAAATTTGGTACATTGGGTTCTTATTGGATACCAAATATCCCCACTTAAAATTATAAATATAGGTCCACTTTTTCTGGTACCCCTCATATAAGGGTACCTCCCATTTTTCAGTTTTTGGGGGGTTTTGACCGGATTTTTTCACCGATTTGGCTGTAATTTAGTAATTTGAGTTATTATTCGGTAGCAAATCTCTCCACAAAAATATATAAATATAGGTCAATTTTTTTCGGGTAGCCCCCATATAAGGTTTCCCCAAATTTTCGGTATTTTAGGGTTCTTGAGAGCGGTTTTCAACCGAATTCGTTGAAATTTGGTACATTGGGTTCTTATTGGATACCAAATATCCCCACTAAAAATTATAAACATAGGTCCACTTTTTCTGGTAGCCCCCATATAAGGGTACCTCCCATTTTTCAGTTTTTGGGGGGTTTTGACCGGATTTTTTCACCGATTTGGCTGTAATTTAGTAATTTGAGTTCTTATTCGGTAGCAAATCTCTCCACAAAAATTTATAACTATAGGTAAATTTTTTCGGGTGGCCCCCATATAAGGGTACCCCCCAATTTTCGGTATTTTAGGGTTCTTGAGCGCGGTTTTAACCGAATTCGCTGAAATTTGTTATTATGTAGTCGTATATGGTAACAAATCTCCCCACCAAAAATTATTAATATTCACCCATATTATTAAAATAGTAATCTGATTTTTTTCGTGTGTTGGGGTTGGGTAGCCGTTACGGGGAATAGTCCATTTTTACCCTACAAGGACGTTTTAGCCATCTGTTGTAAGCATTCCGCCTTCTAAAGATATTGTGATAAAAAACTCATCTCCTCAATATACTGATACCTCCTGAAGGAAATAATTGAGATAAACAATTAAAATGTTGGGTTCAAAATTGGCATATACCGGCCATTAATTAGGCATAGCCCTCATATAATGATATCCCCAAATATTAACTATTTCCTACACTATGTTATCAATATTGGTCCCCCTTTAGGCATATCCTCATATAACTTTGTAATCTAAATTACAGTAGTTTGAGGATTTTATACTCTACCATGCGTTATCAGTATCAGTCCACTATTTGGATCTTACAGATTTTAGGAAAAATCCCCATTAAAAATTGCTGAAGTTTGTATTTGGTGTACATAATGGTTTACATAAAGCGGTTTGTAGAATTATCGGTATATGCCCACTTTTTGGTATGTTCCCTATGTTTTCATTGCATGTATCTGTCAGTATAACTATGGTGGAGGGATCCAAACTTCGGCCCGGCCGAACTTAACGCTTTTTCACTTGTTTACATTTACACCATCACAGCTTCCACCAAACTTATTATTAATTACCAATATTTTGAGATTTTGACGAGAATACTTCATTTTATAGAAATGAATTTAAATTATATGCAATATGTTAATATTTCACGAGTTATAAGCTTGCGAACCTCACTTTCAAGGAATTTAAAGGATTTTTGTAATTTCCCATATATACATGTGAATGTACTATACAAAATCCAATATACGCTATTCTAGGTTGTGCACTGATTTGTCCTAATCGAGCAAACCTTAGTTATTTGATACACCATTTAGATGACATCCGAAAAAATATATGTGGGAGCTATATCTACATCCGACTTCACCAAAACTTAACAGAAGTCATTCTATACTGAACTGATTTCAACAAAACTATTTCAGTACTCCTTGCAAATTTGTTTCTTAATCGGACAAACATTGGCAGTATGATGCTCCATTTACACAAAATCTGGCGAAACTGTATATGGAGCTATATCTAAATCTGAACCGATTAAAAAAAAACTTCGATACAACAGTCTGGACCTAATTCAGTACACTGTGGGGCCAAATAAGTTACCTTTGATAAATTTCATCCAAATCGGATCCTAAGTTTTGCTCACAAAAATACTTTGACGGACGGACATGCATAAATCGACTGAGAAAGTGATTCTATGCATATTCTCAAAAGGAACTATGGGTCTAACTCGATTCTTGTTGGCTTTTACGCACATATGTACAAAGACATAATACCCTGTATCACAGAGTGGTGAAGCGTATAAAAATCAAAATGACAATTCTGTAGAAAATCCACCACCACTAAACACAATCCCAAAGTAGTTTCTTTGCTCTATTTTTTCCAATAAACGAGTATTTATATGAATTGCATTCATAAAATGGAGAAATCCGACCATTGCACTATAGGTCAAATGACCGTTTTTTCTGTGCAACATTGAAAAAAATCAAAGTGTCGTTCTTCACGAGTTGTTGTTGTTTTTGTATTTAGAACACTCCAAAATAAGGATACGTGATATTTATTAGCGCTAAATATAAAGTACCGTTACACATCTGGCCGTGCAAGTCGCTCAATACAATTTATTCTATAAATATGTTAGTCAACTTTGAGTTCGTATTAACCCTTTCAGTGCAAATAAAATTTTTGCCGAAATAAAAATCTAAAATTTTTACTTAAAATCATATGATGGCACAGAGTTTAGAAAAAAAATCAATTCTTATTTTAAACCTCGGACAGTTTTGTCTGTCTTTCAGCAAAAACAAAGACATCAATTGTAACGGTACATAGGATAACCGAAAAATTGCAAAGGAAGATAATAATTTTAAATGTCGAATATATTCGACAAAAACACTGAAAGGGTTAATTCGATTGTGTTTACAATAAATAATTAGTGTAAAATAAAAAATATAGATACAAGTAAGAAGGTAACAAAAAGAAACAAGTGAAAAAGCGTTAAGTTCGGCCGGGCCGTACTTTGGGTACCCTCCGCCATAGTTATACTGACAGATACATGCAATGAAAATATAGGGAATATACCAACAAGTGGGCATAAACCATTACGTACACCAAATACAAACTTCAGCAATTAATTATTGGGGATTTTTCCTAAAATCTGTAAGATCCAAAAAGTTGACTGATACTGATAACGCATGGTAGAGTATAACATCTTCAAACTACTGTAATTTAGATTACAAAGTTATATGAGGGTATGCCTATAGGGGGACCAATATTGATTACATAGTGTAGGAAATAGTGAATATTTGGGGATATCTTTATATGAGGGCTATGCCTAATTAATGACCGGTATATGAACCCAATATTTTAATTGTTTATCTCAATTCTTTCCTTCAGGAGGTATCTATATATTGGAGAGATGCCTAAATGTCTGCCGATACATTTCATTATTGTCATGTTTGAGTTTTTTTATCACAATATCTTTAGAACGCGGAATGCTTACAACAGATGGCTAAAACGTCTTTGTAGGGTAAAAATTGACTATTCCACGTAACGACTACACAATCGTTGGGATTGGAACAAATCAGATAACTATTTTAATATAAAGAGGGGGTTATATGGGGACTACCCCTAAAAAGTCGTGAATATTAATAATTTTTGGTTGGGGGATTTGTTACCATATACGACTACAAAATACCAAATTTCAGCGAATTCGGTTGAAAAACGCGCTCAAGAACCTAAACATTTCAAAATGGGGTCTACCCGAAAAAATTGACCTATATTTATAATTTTTTGTGGAGAGTTTCGTTACCCAATAAGAACTCAAATTGCTAAATTACAGCCAATTCGGTGAAAAAGTCCGGTCAAAACCCCCCAAAAACTGGAAATTGGGAGGTACCCTTGGAACTATATTTATAATTTTTAGTGGAGAGATTTGCAACCCAATAAGAACTCAATGCACCAATTTTCAGCGAATTCAGTTGAAAAACGCGTTCAAGAACCTCAAAATACCGAAAATACCGAACTTGAACCTGCAGGCAAAAGACGACTCTATGCAAAATTTTGGCGATCTATCTCAATTCGTTTAGACGCTAGAGTGATTACAACCGACAGACGGACAAACGGACGTGGCTATATCGTCATAGAATTTTACGCTGATCAAGAATATATATACTTTATAGGGTCGGAAATGATTATTTCGATGAGTTACAAACGGAAAAACAAAATTAATATACCCTCCATACTATGGTGGAGGGTATTAAAAATCAGTTGGGCCAAATTTCATGACGAACGCGAAAGAAGTAAAGAAGTACTCCTGTTAGGTGTATAAGGTACCACATTGCACCGGACGACTTATATCCTTGCTTGTCGATTTTTTACAAATAATAAAAATAATCAATAATGCAAATTAAATAAATATCCTAAAATAAAATAAGCGGCATTAATTCTAATAACAAGCTTTCATTTTCAGGACGATGAGACAACGCAGCAAGACGAGGAAAACACAGGCAAAGAATATTTACCAGGATGGATAAATGACCCCTTACTTGTTGACTCTCAACTGGGTGAAATATCATTGCGTGAGAAACGTTTCTGGAAGGACTTAATTAAATTATATTTGAAACCCATGTTTCACACAAAAGAGAAAAAGGCAGAGATTGCGGACAGTCTACGCGAACTGCGAAATATGTTTGCATTTGCTTTCGTTATGATTAATGCAATTTTTGTTTTAATCGTATTCTTGCTACAACTGAAAAAGGATTATTTGCATTTGGAATGGCCTATTGACCCCGAGGATTTTATAACATATGATGCAGATAATTCACAAATATTTATATATCGACAATACAAACATCTGGATCCAATTGGTTTCTGTTTTGTTATTTTCTTTGGCATCATTCTTATTATACAATTTATCGCAATGTTCTTTCATCGGTTTGCTACAATTTCACAACTATTAGCCACAACCAAATTAGATTGGCTGAGAGCATCGAGTTCGGTAAGAAAATTTATAGAATGCAAAAGAAATATTTATAGCTGTATTGATAACATTTTTCAATGTGTGTTAAAAATGTTTTTCTGTATGAGAAACCAAATTACCAATTCCCTTTTAAATTACCGAAAACTACGATTAACTATACCAAAACCTATGGATGACTATTGATATTTTTTGTCTGGTAGATTTGACAACCAATGAGAAGCCAACATACTAAATAAGATCCTATTCGCCTGAAGGGCCTGTTCAAAATCTTAAAAATAACGCATAACATAAACGTAGATCGAAATATCTTCAACCTTGATCTGACCACTGGGAAAATATAACTGTATTTGAGAACCCGATTTCAATTATTTTGGAAGATATCCTGATTATAACAATTAGGATCACAGGGCTAGATCTTCTTAGAATTTTGCCCTGATCAAGAATATGTATTCTTTACAGGCTCGGTCATAAACGCAATGACAAAATAATATACCCCTCATTTCTCCAAATTATTCAAATTTGTAAATGAAAATTATATTCACCAAATATTGATGTTCTAACTTTGTTACTATTCTACCAAACCCGTTATATAATTAATTTCATTAGATTTTAATTCAAATATGACATTTAAAGGATTAAGCAACTGGAAATACTCTTCCGCATTAGTGAATATACATTTAGCATGCCTCTCAACCGACGTTTTATGGTATCCGACTTTAAAGTTATTTCCTTCCGCTAAGTGAAAAGTTTTCTCAACAATTTAATATTCAATTCAATTGAATTACTTATTTTTTACGTATTATATAAACATTAGGGTTCGCCTGCTTCAAAAACTAGTGAAAGATGTAGCCAAATTTAGGAGAGTGAAGACCAAAATAATTCTTTCTTCTCTAAGTTGTTACAAAAAAATTGGATTTGTATGAAGTAGTAAATCTAGTAATTGTCTGACATACCTAGGTCGATGTGCATAAATAATTATTTTGGTAACATTGTATCTCGCAGTTCGTAAATCATATTTTTAGCAACCCCAATGTCCCCCATTCGGCCTTAAGTGAAAAATAAACTCAAAAATCAACTTAATAATAGAATTGCTCAGCTCACCTAGTCTATTTTTGTTCCCAGATAACGGACGAAGATGCGGCACAGGAAATTCGAGGGAATGCTGTTCATATTGCACGTCAACTGCAACGACCGAAACGTCTTGACGATGATGATGAAGACGAGAACGGCAGTGGCAGTAAATGTAACAACTGGGACGAGGGATCGGAGAATCACATGACGCGGCGTTCAACAGTATTCAAGTTGCATGAAAATCGTAATAAGAACCAGTATGATTACAGTGATTTGCCACGAAATTTCGAGCGTCGATTTTTGGGAGATGGTAAGTGCTTTGATAAGGAATGCTTCCAACATGTACATGCCAATCACAATTGCGTGTTTTGTTACCATTTACTTACAACTACAGCTGCATATGTTCACTTATTTCATATTTTCAGATGATATCAGTGTCAAGCACATATCCATGAGTCGCAAATCCTTGATGCTCCTTAATGAGACACGTTTCGTAGCCAAGCGACGTCTTACTCAGCAAACACATCGCAACACTGTTTTGAATAGGAATCCCCTGCAAGGATTTGATAATGATGCCTTTGAAACGTCGAACACATAAAAATGTAAAAGGAAATATGTAGTTATGTACGTAATAATATATACTGTAAGAATTACAGATGGATGTAACCGTCACAGTTTTCAAAGCAAAGTAAAAAAATAAACTATCCTGAATATACGATATAAATATAAACTTAAATTTAGAACTATATCGTGTTCGAAGGTGGGAATTGGTCATATCATTCTCGCGATCTATAGGCCCACTCCCTGTAGTGCCTCTTTCATAAAGGGTCAAAATTGTGTTAATATAATACGAAGCTTACTGAGTATCCGATTTGACAACAACATCGTACAAAGTAATTTTTTACTAAATTCAGGTCATATCCGAATATGCAACCTATCGGTCCACTCCTTCTACCAAAGTGTTTAAAACTTGAAATATGGAAAAATAAATCCAGTCCAAAAATGGGGTATATGTATCATAAAGGACACTGGTTATAGCCTAGAATTATAAATTGGTTCCGCGTAATGTAATGGGATACTAGGATTCAGAGACCTGGGTAAGTACTCTCAATTTGACTGTTTAAAATAAGTGGGGATATTCTAAAAGAGGGTGAAATGTACTACAGAATACAACAGCAAGAAACGTAAGTAAGTACTCAAGCAAGGATTTGAATTGATTCTATAGCAAGAGATCTTAGTAAGTACTCAAGAAAGGATACGAAAGTATTCTACTGCAAGAGACCTTAGTTAGTACTCCAATAAGTGTACGGAAGGATACTACGGTAAGAGACCTTAGTAAGAGCTGAAGCAAGTTGATTTTACTGCAAGAGACATTTATACCAAAGGACTCTATTGCAAGATACCTTAATAAGAATACGGGAAGATTCTACTCAGACAAGGATACGAAAGGGTTCTACTGCAAGAGATCTTAATATGTTATCAAGCAAGGATTCTACTAAGGCAAGGGAACGAAATGACGGACATAGAAATGTGTTCAATATCGAACAAACTTATCGACGTTTATATACTTAGATTTATTTATCAAATACTTTCAATATTTTTCAATTTACATTAAAATCTTTACTTAGATTGAGTATATCCAAAGCATTTCAACTGAGTTGTCGAAACTTCTTATGCAACTAAAAAAAATATATATATGCGAACACATACATTTCTATATACACCCATAAAAATTCAAGGATTCAAAAAGAATTCGCGTATTATACCAAAAAGTAAAATGAGCAAAAACTGTAAATGCAACAATAGTTGAATAATATCGCGAGTAAAGTGTTTCTCCAAATTCCTCGAGAGCCCTTGCATTCCTTTTGAAGTGCTCTGAAGGTTCTATTATTTTTGAGAGGAATTGTTTTCGAATATTTGAACATTAACTTGGGTCGATAATGGCAGCACAAAAGAATATTTATTAGGGATTTTCAGCAATAGCAGAATTCAAGCAAAATTATTGCTGCTGGACTAACATTATATATATATATATATATATATATTAATACATACGGTCACATAACAATCTCTATCATATATTGACAACTTTTCTAGAACCTGTATTATAGGATGTGTTATAATGAAAATGTTATAATTTTCTTCTTTTTCTTTAGTGTCACTAAATTAATAACTTTTAAACCAATTGATACATGTTGCTGAAAATTTAAAACAATTGTAGAAGTTATTTCAATCAAACATCGTCATCATAAATGCAAACGTTACATTTGCAAAATGCAAATGTATAAAAATGAAGCATGGCTGGACATTTTTTCAAAATTTAACCGCACTATAGAGCCGTATATATTTTTTGAAAAGAAATGTAATTTTTTTGGTTTTTAAAGTTTTTATGTCAGTTACGTCCTTTTGACTTGATATTTTCTGAAACAAAAGGACGTAAGACTAAAATTTGTACAGTTTCGTGAAAATCGGTTCAGATTTAGACATAGGTCCCAAACATATTTTCGTCAGATTTTGTGTAAATGATGCATTAAAGCCAATTTATTTCTTTCGATTTGCACGAAATTTTGCATAGCGTACTGAATTGAGTCTAGATTGATGTGTGTGAAGTTTCGTGAAAATCGGTTTAGATTTGGATATAGCTCCAATATACAGTTTCGACCCATATACAGTTTCGACCGATGCACTATAGACATTAAATATTTCTCCGATAGCGATGTAACTTTGTACGAGGTACTTTTGTGAAACAAAAATACCTAATTATAGCTGATTAGTTAAAAAGAATCGAGAAAAGCCCTAAATTTGGGGTACCGCTATATGGGGGCTACCGTAAAAAATTTGCCGATATATCTCATTTTCAATATCAAACAACCGAGAAGTTGTATTAATATATTTTCAGAATTTCTATTCTCAATATTGCTTAGTTTTCTACAATAGCGTAGTTACATTTGTTTACATTAATAAAAACATACTATTGTAGTTACGTCCGTTTGAATTTCTTTTATTAGATCGCTGTTTTTGACGTTAGATGTCTAAATTTTTGTGTGAACATGTAATTAGATTATTTCGAATTTTTCTATAGTTACGTCCGCCTTTACGTTACGTTGCCTTTATGGTGACGAACAGTTCGGCCGGGACGAACTTTTTATACCATCCACCACGTGGAGAGATTCAAAATTCCTTAAGTCGACCGGGTTATTTATATGGGGACTATGTTATGGTGTTATGTAATAGTAGGTGGTTGTCCATGCTCTGAATAAAAAGTTTTCAAGATTACTGACACTCTAGTTGGAAAATTTTAACGGGTCTTTTTATACCCTACACATCAATGTTGTAAGGGTATTATAGCTTTGTATGACTCCAAGAGTTTGTAACGCCGCGAAATATTGGTTCTATACCGATCGTCATATCTCGATTAGCTGAGTCTCTTCATTATAATTTGTAAACACAATACAGGCCACAGTTATCGACCAATCGCCACGAAATTTTGCATGTAGAACAGGTTCTGGCCAAAGAAGCTCCCAATTGTTTAATCGGTTCATGGGAATTGACCAAAACTTTAATTTTGACTGTTTTTCTAATCGTTCTAGAGGCCACAATTATGAACTGAACCCAGACTTTATTATATTAACTCCCGAATGGGATAGACCCGAGAAGTTGATAGTATATCCAAGAGGGGTGGTTGATCTCGCGGAAATGTCGCTAGCATTGTTTATAAATTTCCACTGAAACCCAAAAGAAATAATATCACTTACAATTCAATTAGTAGGTGTCACAGTGACAATTAAGATCATATTCATCCTTATTACGGTTGGCGTTGTCTTGTCGATAATTGGGCCATGTCGCACTTTTACGACAAATCGGTATTATGATAGGCGTTACAATACGCCAAATTTGTCTTTCAAGATTCTTTTGACGACAGCATACAAAAAATTATAAAAATGTGTTAAAATTGCATTTTAACAATACATACTGATTAACAGTTACATAAAACTATATTTTATTGCATTTCTCAATATTCATAAGAATTGCACCTACCAGAAAATTATTTAGAAAACAAACAAAATGAGGGTTCTTTCTAAAGGGTTCTTTCTAAATGTAAAATTTTTGCTTTAGTTTTGTAACAGAGTAAAAGAAAAATCTTTTAGAAAATTTAGCGTTGTCGTAAATTTTGCATAATACCGACCAAAAACGACTACGACAACGCATTCGACTACACCTACGAGAGCTACCGTACAACGACTAAGCCTACCGTAATAAGGGTGGTTATTTGACTAAAATAAGTTTTTGGTTTATTTGTCACTTTCCGCTAACTATGTAGCAGACAACATGCTGGTATATCCATAAAACGTATTAAATACAAAGTTATATTTTCAATTGCAAACGTGATATCAAAAACTATTTTATTTTACCAAACACGTTCTACCCTAATGTATATAAGAAAGTACGCATTTGTTACAAAACCTGGGAATGCTACGCACAAACTTTCAAGAAGGGCTATATAACAAACATTGCATTTAAATTTGAATATCAGAGTTTTTGTTTTTGTTTTTTTATTTTCATTACGTTCCATGACATCTTGTCAGCAAAAACAAACAAAAATGGAAAGCAAAAATGTGACAAACGCTTAACAGGACAATTTATGGATGTGGAAGTATTTCTTATTCCTACTAATAATGATGGTATAATGCTTACAATATTATGCTTATAGTTTAAAACAAATATGTTATATAGAATTTAAAAATAGGTATATGTATTTAAATAATATATACAGTGAGTGTAATAAGTATTTTGCCTCAATACGAATTTAACAAAATTCCAATATATACGTCGAAAGCCAGCAAACTAAAGATGTAAATTGAATTATGTGTGGTGGAATATGTTTGTGGACATGTTTAGATCTTATTTCTGCAAGAATCACTGCGAAAGACCTATTGGTCTCGAAGATGTCGGCTAAAATCTATAACAACCCGAAAATGTTTATCACAAAAAAGTATTTTCCTTTTTATTATTTTATTAAAAAAATCATTACACTTCGCACGTTCGGTCTTTCTATAACTACCATTAAGGATAACCATATATTATAAGCGATTCGGTAGGGAACATACCAAAACTTGGACATATACCGACATTTCTAAAAACGGATAATTATACCCTCAGGCTTATGGCTAATGAGTGTGTATACACTTTAACACGATGGAAATGTGCGTCATCGAAATATTGGTTCTAGACCCCATGTTTCTTTGGAACAAATCCGATTCAGAAAATTAAAATTTCATCCAAACTTTGCCCATCTTATCATTTCTTCCAAACTTAGTTCAAATTCGAAAATGGGGAATATCGGTCCACTCCTTCTGGAACCTCCACACAGGGGCTAGGTCTAAATGCGGCTATAGTTTATTATCGAACCTTACGTTCTAATTTTTTTATCTCGCTATCCTCCACAAGTGAAATGATTAAAACAGAGTCTTAGAAACAAACTCAAAACGCGGAACAAATCAGATAAATATTTTAATATAAAAAAGGGGGTTATAAGGGGACTACTCCAAAAATGGGGGCGAATATTAATAATTTTTGGTAGGGAGATTTGTTACCCTA